GCTGAGGCAGGAGAATGGTGTGAACCCAGGAAGCAGAGCTTGCAGTGAGCCAAGATCGCGCCACTGCACTCCAGCCTGGGCTACAAGAGTGAGACTCCGTCTCAAAAATAAAATATAAATAAAAAAGAAAAGAAAAAAAGAAAAGGCAAGCCAATAACTGGTAACACTTTTCACACTCTTCATCTTGAACTTATCAAAAAAAGTTTGAGTTTCTTCCCAGGTCTGTTTCTCCCATGACAAATAGAGGCTGTGAGGCTTCTTTCAATTCTGATTGACTTGCAGAGTAATTTTCCTTAAAATTGAATTAGTTGACATCTTTTTTTTTCTTTTCTTTTTTTCTTTTTGTGACAGAGTTTCACTCCTGTCTCCCAGGCTGGAGTACAATGGTGTGATCTTGGCTCACCGCAACCTCCGCCTCCTGGGTTCCAGTGATTCTCCTGCCTCAGCCTCCCAAGTAGCTGGGATTACAGGCGCAGGCCACCATACCCGGCTAATTTTTGTATTTTTTGTGAAGATCGGGTTTTACCATGTTGGCCAGGCTGGTCTTGAACTCCTGACCTCAGGTGATCCACCCGCCTCGGACTTCCAAAGTGCTGGGATGACAGGCATGTGAGCCACCACGCCTGGCCAACACCATTTTTAAATGGGGAGATTTCACATGGAAATCCAAATGTGTAGAATTTTTCTTTTCAAATTAGCATATTTTACTTTTTAAGGTGTACAATGTGATGTTTTTCAAATAAAATTTATCATATATGACATGATGTTTTGAAATATATGTACTTTGTGGAATGGCTAAATCAAGCTGATTAACATGCATCACCTCACATGTATTTTTTTGTGATGCGAATGTATGCGCTCTTAAAAAAAATGGGCAGTTTTGGCAATACATGGAAGCCATCCTCTACAGCTAAAAGGCAGAAACCATCTGTGTTTTGTTATGTTTTGTTTTTGTTTGTTTTTTTGAGACACGGTCTTGGTGTTGCTCTGTTACCCAGGCTGGAGTGCGGTGGTGACTATGGCTCACTGCAACCTCTGCCTCCTGGGTTTAAGTGATCATCCCTGCCTCGGCGTCCTAACTAGCTAGAACTATAGATGCGTGCTAACACACTCAGCTAAATTTTTTTTTTTTTTTTTTTTGAGACAGAGTCTCGCTCTGTCGCCCAGGCTGGAGTGCATTGGCATGATCTCAGCTCACTGCAACCTCTGCCTCCCAGGTTCAAGCAATTCTCCTGCCTCAGCCTCCCGAGTAGCTGGGACTACAGGCCCCTGCCACCACGCCTGGCTAATTTTTTTTTTTTATTTTTAGTACAGACAGGGTTTCACCGTGTTAGCCAGGATGGTCTCGATCTCCTGACCTTGTGATCCGCCTGCCTCAGCCTCCCAAAGTGCTGGGATTACAGGTGTGAGCCACCGCGCCCCGCACACACTTGGCTAATTAAAAAAAAAAAATTTCGTAGAGACAGTCTCACCATATTGCCCAGGCTGGTCCCCAACTCCTGGGCTCAAGCAATCCTCCCACCTTGGCCTCCCAGAGTGCTGGGATTACAGGCATGAATTAGCCGTGCGCGGTGGCACCACCGTGCCTGCTGGCAAGTATATATCTTGAGTGAGAATTACACAATTCCTGAAGACACCTGACTTTGCCACCTCTCATTCAGTTTACCTGAACCCAGTGTTTTTGGTGAGGTTGAACAACCCTAAGTCTCCTTTGAGCTTTGAGTTGCTGTAATAAATTCTCTAGAGTAGCAGCTGTCTGCTTCCAATTTTGCCTTTGGGGGTTTTTAATTAATTGACATTTTATTTATTTATTTATTTACTTATTTTTGAGAGGGAGTCTCACTCTATCGCCCAGGCTGAAGTGCAGTGGGGCAATCCCACCTCCCAGATTCAAGCGATTCTCCTGCCTCAGGCTCCTGAGTACCTGGGACTACAGGCACGCGCCACCACCCCTGGCTAATTTTTGTATTTTTAGTAGAGACGGGGTTTCGCCACGTCGACCAGGCCAGTTTAGAACTCCTGACCTCAGGTGATCCGCCCGCCTCGGCCACCCAAAGAGCTTGGATTACAGGTGTGAGCCACACAGACCCGCCGACACCATTTTTAAATGGAGAGATTTCATATGCAGATCCAAATTTGCAGGGTTTTAGTTTTGTTTTGTTTTTCAAATTAGCACTTTTTGGGGGTTGTGTTTTAGGGCGTACAATGTGATGTTTTTCCAGGACGTTGTGGTTTGTGCAGACCTGATGAAGTCCGGAAAGAAGTAGCCAAAATTTCATGTACTCTTTTTTTTTTTTTTAAATAATTTTTTTATTATTATACTTTTAAGTTCTAGGGTACATGTGCATAACGTGCAGGTTTGTTACATATGTATACTTGTGTCATGTTGCTGTGCTGCACCCATCAACTCGTCATTTACATCAGGTATAACCCCCAATGCAATCCCTCCCCGCTCCCCCCTCCCCATGATAGGCCCCGGTGTGTGGGTGTGTGATGTTCCCCTTCCTGAGTCCAAGTGATCTCATTGTTCAGTTCCCACCTATGAGTGAGAACATGCGGTGTTTGGTTTTCTGTTCTTGTGATAGTTTGCTAAGAATGATGGTTTCCAGCTGCATCCATGTCCCTACAAAGGACACAAACTCATCCTTTTTTATGGCTGCATAGTATTCCATGGTGTATATGTGCCACATTTTCTTAATCCAATCTGTCACTGATGGACATTTGGGTTGATTCCAAGTCTTTGCTATTGTGAATAGTGCTGCAATAAACATACGTGTGCATGTGTCTTTATAGCAGCATGATTTATAATCCTTTGGGTATATACCCAGTAATGGGATGTCTGGGTCATATGGTACATCTAGTTCTAGATCCTTGAGGAATCGCCATACTGTTTTCCATAATGGTTGAACTAGTTTACAATCCCACCAACAGTGTAAAAGTGTTCCTATTTCTCCACATCCTCTCCAGCACCTGTTGTTTCCTGACTTTTTAATGATCGCCATTCTAACTGGTGTGAGATGGTATCTCATTGTGGTTTTGATTTGCATTTCTCTGATGGCCAGTGATGATGAGCATTTTTTCATGTGTCTGTTGGCTGTATGAATGTCTTCTTTTGAGAAATGTCTGTTCATATCCTTTGCCCACTTTTTGATGGGGTTGTTTGTTTTTTTCTTGTAAATTTGTTTGAGTTCTTTGTAGGTTCTGGATATTAGCCCTTTGTCAGATGAGTAGATTGCAAAAATTTTCTCCCATTCTGTAGGTCGCCTGTACACTCTGGAACCAAAAAAGAGCCCACATCTCCAAGACAATCCTAAGTCAAAAGAACAAAGCTGGAGGCATCACGCTACCTGACTTCAAACTATACTACAAGGCTACAGTAACCAAAACAGCATGGTACTGGTACCAAAACAGAGATATAGACCAATGGAACAGAACAGAGTCCTCAGAAATAATACCACACATCTACAGCCATCTGATCTTTGACAAACCTGAGAGAAACAAGAAATGGGGAAAGGATTCCCTATTTAATAAATGGTGCTGGGAAAATTGGCTAGCCATAAGTAGAAAGCTGAAACTGGATCCTTTCCTTACTCCTTATACGAAAATTAATTCAAGATGAATTAGAGACTTAAATGTTAGACCTAATACCATAAAAACCCTAGAAGAAAACCTAGGTAGTACCATTCAGGACATAGGCATGGGCAAAGACTTCATGTCTAAAACACCAAAGCAATGGCAGCAAAAGCCAAAATTGACAAATGGGATCTCATTAAACTAAAGAGCTTCTGCACAGCAAAAGAAATTTCATGTACTCTTCACAGAACCAGCGCTGAAAGCCTTTTCTGTCTCACCAGATCAGCCTTGCAAGGGGATGAGAGTGGGGCGCAGGCGGCTGAGAGCCTTGCTGGGAATCACACAGGTCGTCCGTGGAAAAGCGTGTACCAAGACCCAGGCCTCTCTGGAAGGTGGGCAGAGGAGGCGTTCGGAGGCAGAGGTGGAAATGAGAACAGGAAATCTAAAGAGAGGTGGCGGACGAGAAGGGGCAAAGGACGTGCAGAGGAAGATAGAGATTGAGGGATGGTGATAGGGCAGTGTAAGCAGCAGAAGGGAAGGGCAGGAAACTGCCTCGAAGAGAAGGGGCAGCGGCAGCACGTCAGGGGCTCTTGGTGAATCTCATTCAACAAATGGCAAAATGGAGCCCAAGTGGTTTGCCCAAGGATGTCCAGCACTTGGCAAGGTGGCAGCTAGAACCCGCGTCTCCTAATGGCGGTCCAGGGATCTTTCTTCGCCTGTCACAGGGACAAGGGGCCAGTGCAGCGCTAGTGCGGAGAGACAAGACTCTAGGCACGGAAAAGCAGACGCCGGGCCGGGGCTCCAGCGCTGCAACCACGGCGGTGGACGGAAAGCTCTGCCGACGGCTGGGGGCGCCATGAATCGTCGAGGATCCGGGGAGCCCAGTCCAGCCCTTCCTAGCAAGCGACCGCGAAGCGGCAATGGGACGGTGGTCGAAGCCTGCCCACAGCTTCCGCTTCGAAGGCGGCGTTGGAAATGCCGCGCCAGTATCCTTCGGCACCTCCCGAGAGATGGTCAGGAGCTTTTGGAAACTTTAGGTCAGGGGCCAAAGACCAAAAGGCTGGTATTTCGGAACGGCCACATCTCCTGAGAAACCTCCAAGAATAACAGGTTGCCGGAAAAAGGTTAGAGAGCAGCCGAAATCAGCCGAATGCCATTCGGGGGCTCCGGAGTTTCTCGAGGCACATTCGGGCCCTCTCGGCTCTGCAAGACTCCACTGGAATCTCAGGTCTCGAGCAGATCGTTTCGTCGCCTAAAGGGTAAGGGCGACTTGTACCGACAGTCCCTCGGCAGTTTCCGGAGGTGTTCGGGATAGGCCCGAGCGTGGCGCCCTCTGGCGGCGACCAGGGGTGGGGTAGGGGTTAGTGGGCCAGCGCGCGCAGACGCAGCTGCGCGCCGGCGGTCGTTCAGACCGGATGTGGTTGTGGCTGAGGTCAGTTCCGGCGGGTGACGGTGCGGACGGGTCAGGAGCGTAGAGGCGGCGGCAAAATGGCGGCGCCTGAGGAGCGAGATCTAACCCAGGAGCAGACAGAGAAGCTGCTGCAGTTTCAGGTAGCAGCGAGTACTCGGTGCAGCAAATGCCTCCGCGGGATGGGGAGTGGGCCCCTAGAGGAGTTCAGAACTTTCCTCAGATTGGGCTCAGATTCTTCTTAGACCAGCAGGCCGACCCCCTCCCCCCAGACTCCAACTGCCCTGATTCCCCCGGCCCCCAAGCCTCTGTTGGTCCCTATCCTTCCAGCCATCGCTGCGGCCAGACCCGCCTCGTTTGTGCTTCTGTGCCCTCAGCGTGTCAGCTTCCCTGGTTTCCCTTAGCGGCGTCAGTCCTCAGCCATCCTTCCCAGCCCGGTTATCGGTCGGACCCTCTCCGCCCAACGAGTCTGTATCTGCCGGAGACGCTTAATCCCTACCGCGGAGTTGGCGTCAGTTCGGGTCTCTGACAGAAAAACCTCCTGCCAACATCCCATGCCATTTCCACAAACATTCCCACAAACAGGCCTCTTGGATACCAGGTTTCGTGTTGGGGGTTCCGGTCGGGAAGGGGGCACCTACACACAGACCTGGTCCCCGCCCTAGAGGTGTGGGAGGACACCAAGTGAGAAAACAATGCAAGGTGCTAAGTGTCATCAGTGGCTTCTGACGGGATTTATTACTTTTGGCTTATTCCTGGATTCCTGTGCTTCACTATGCTTGAGGAGGGTGGTAACTTGCAGGAATGTTATGTTAATACAGGACGTCGTATTAAGAACGTTTGCCACTAATCACTTACCCTTGAGCTGGAGAATGGTTGGAGGATACCACTAGGGTGGGTAACCTTGGCACTTTGTTACCAGTTTCTTATCTCTGAAGAGACTGTCTTAAAAATATCTACCCCCAAGCCGGCCGCGGTGGCTCACGCCTGTAATTTCTGCACTTTGGGAGGCCAAGGCGGGCGAATCACGAGGTCAGGAGTTCGAGACCAACCTGGCCAATATGGTGAAACCCTGTCTCTACTAAACATACAAAGATTAGCCGAGCATGGTGGTGCACGCCTGTAGTCCCAGGTACTCGGGAGGCTGAAGCAGGAGACTCGCTTGAACCCGGAAGGCGGAGGTTGCAGTGAGCCGAGATCGCACCACTGCACTCTAGCCTGGGCAGCAGCAAGAGTGAAACTCCGTCTCAAAAAAAAAAAAAAAAAAAAAAAAAAATCTACTTCCTGAGGATGTTCTGGAGATCAAATGGACATATGGATGTCAGAAGGGCCTTGTGGACTGTAAAATGCCCCCAAATAGTATTTCTGCTATTAATTTGACTTAGGATAGACCTAACGTTATTGATACACTTATTTCCTTATATAAAATGTGTAAATATTCATTTATTCAGCTATATTTATGAAGAACCTTAGTGCTCAGCGCTGCTAGGTGGAATCCCACTTACTATTTCAGATGTAAGTACTTTGTAAACTTAGTGTACATAACCTCATTTAATACAACAACCCTATGAGGTTCATACTGTTACAGTCGCTGATTTACAGATGAAGGGTATCAGGACCAAGAAATAAAATGCTTAGGTTACACAGCTAGAAAGTGATGATGTCAGATTTAAAGCTATGTCCATCTTCCAGAACCCTTCCCAGGCTTCTGACTTCTGTCTTGTACAACTTATATGTCAGTGTACAGTTGAGTGTGGAATGCAGATGCTGAGATAATAAATATTTTTTTGGCGAGTTCTCACTTTTCTGCAATTTCCTTGAATAGACTTCACTATAATAAATTTTGAAGTGGTTATTTTTTCCCCTCTTAAATTGAGCAGTGGGTTGGAAGTGTATAAATGGAAAAATGCTGTCGTAGATGTAATTGACATTTGATTGGAATTTTTGGTAGAGAAATTGAATTGATGACCCAGCAAATTATAATTAAAGAATGAGTAAACAGCAGACAACCAGCTTACACTTCCATTACACTTCCAGGTAGACCACCAATTTCAGAGTGTTGTTTAACTTTGGCAGACCATTTTACCCCCTAGAACTCTTCAGGGGTAAGCTAACATGTTGTTTAAGTGCAATGAAGCAATGTGAGTTATGGTATCTTTAGTCTCATACTGGGAGAGCATGAATATGAATATATGATAGCATTTCTGAAGTAAAGTGCATAGGAACTTCCATCTTATCTTCTGTGGAGTTTTTTTTTTTTTTTTTTGAAATGGGGTTTCGCTCTTGTTGCCCAGGCTGGAGTGCAGTGGCGCGATCTCGGCTCACTTCAACCCATGCCTTCCGGTTTCAAGCCATTCTCCCGCCTCAGCCTCCCGAATAGCTGGGACTACAGGCACGTGCCACCACACCCAGCTAACTTTTTGTATTTTTAGTAGAGACGGGGTTTCACTATATTGGCCAGGATGGTCTCGATTTCTTGACCTCATGATCCACCCGCCTTGGCTGGGATTACAGGCGTGAGCCACTGCGCCGGGCCAGAACTGTGGAGATTTTTATTAGAAGAGAGGTGGGTAGCAGGTTTGAGCTGTATTAAGATTGCCTTATGAAACTGGATTTATTGAGGGAAATGCATCTTTTTTTTTTCCATTCTATAAGCAATCGCTGGATCAGATTCATTATCCAGATTGCCATTAAACCAACATTTGTTGAAACTCACTAGATGCCAAGCATTATACCAAGCATCAGTTGATGTTCATTAACTCTTTTTTTAAGAAAAATATTTTAGGCTGTGTGCGGTGGCTCACGCCTGTAATCCCAGCACTTTGGGAGGCCGAGGCGGGTGGATCACCTGAGGTCAGGAGTTCAAGATCAGCCTGGCCAACATGACAAAACCCCGTCTCTACTGAAAATACAGAAATTAGCCAGGCATAGTGGCACATGCCTGTAATCCCAGCTATTAGGGGGACTGAGGCAGGAGGATCGCTTAAACCTGGGAGGCGGAGGTTGCAGTGAGCCGAGATCGTGCCACTGCACTCCAGCCTGGGCAACAGAGCGGGACTCTGTCTCAAAAAAGAAAAAAAAAAAAAAAAACTTTAAAAGTAGAGATGGGGGTCTTGCCATGTTGTCCAGGCTGGTCTCAAACTCCTGCCTCAGCCTCTCACAGTGTTGAGATTACAGGTGTGAGCCACCACACTTGGCCCCTTAACTCTTTTAAATCTTTTAATATAACAGTGTAAAGGATTAATCTTGTTCATTTTAATAATGAAGAAACAGGTTCTGAGAGGTCAAATAGCTTGCACAAGTAGTAAGTGGTAGAGATTTAGAAATTTATATCCACTACCATCTTGTGTGTAACTTAATGGAGAAGTCAAGTACACACATGAATAATGGGTATATGATACACACACACACACACACACACACACACTTCAGCCCAGGCTGAAGTGCGGTGGTGTGATCATAGTTCATTGCAACCTCAAACTCCTGGACTCAAGTGAATTCTCCCACCTCAGCCTCCTAAGTGGCTAGGACTAGAAGTGCCCAGCTAATTTTTGTTTGTTTTTGAGACAGAGTCTTGCTCTCTTGCCCAGGCTGGGGTGCAGCGGCACGATCTCAACTCACTGCAGCCTCCGCCTCCTGGGTTCAAGCTATTCTCCTGCCTCAGCCTCCTGAGTAGCTGGGATTACAGGCAGCTGCCACCATGCCTGGCTAATTTTTGTATTTTTAGTAGAGATGACGTTTCCCTGTGTTGGCCAGGCTGGTCTTGAACTCCTGACCTCAGGTGACCCACCTGCCTCAGCCTCCCAAAGTGCTGGGATATTACAGGCATGAGCCACTACTCCCAGCCCTGGCTAATTTTTTCTTCTATTTTCTTTTTTAATTAAAAAAAAAAAATTTTTTTTTTTTTTTAATTTTTTAGACAGGGGCTAGCTCTGTTGCCTAGGCTGGAGAGCAGTGGCATGATCATGGCTTACTGCAGTGATGAACTGAAGGCTCAAGCAGATCCTTCCACCTCAGCCTCTTGAATAGCTGGGACTACAGGCTTGTGCTACCACGCCTGGCTAAAGTTTTCTGTGTGTGTAGAAACGAGGTCTCCCTATGTTGCCCAGGCTGGTCTCAAACTCCTGTGCTCAAGCAGTCCTCCTGCCTCAGCCTCTCAAAGTGCAGGTGTGAACCACTGCGACTGGCCATAATGTGGTATTTAAAGAGTGCTGTGGAGCTTAGGGAAGACCAAGAGTATTCATGAGGGGAGAAAGATGGTTTAGCAGTTAACAATTTTTTTTTTTTTTTTTTTTTTGAGACGCAGTCTCTCTCTGTTGCCCAGGCTGGAGTGCAGTGGTGCGATCTCGGCTCACTGCAGCCTCAGCCTCCCAGGTAGCTGAGATTACAGGCATGCGCCACACGCCGGCTAATTTTTGTATTTTTAGTAGAGATGGGGTTTCACCATGTTGGCCAGGCTGGTCTAGAACTTCTGACCTCAGGTGATCCGCCTCCCTCAGCCTCCCAAAGTGCTAGGATTACAGGCGTGAGCCACAGGACCCGGCCAGCAGGTAACATTTATTAAGTATCTACTATGCCTTAGGCGTAGTGTTAAAGTATAACTATTACGTTTAATCCTTACAGCAGTTTTTAAAGTACCATAGGTAGTATGCATAAGGAAACAAATCTATCGATGTATTTGCTCAAGGTGATTGAGCTACTAGGTAGTGGAATTCTAGTGGGTCTACATCTGTACTTTAAGGCTGAGCTCTTACCAATATACCTTGCTACTTTGGAAGAGGAATAGAATTTCAACAGGTGTTGGGCAGAATATTCAAAGCTGAAGAAATAGCTTGCACAAGGTAGGGAGATGGGAAAGTGAAGTGTCTGTGGTGATGAACTGAAGAGTATTGGAAGCGGACAGTAAGACTAGAAAGGTAAATTAAAGCCAGATTTTGGAGGCCTGTCAAAGCTGGCTTCCAGCTTTGAAATGGTTTAAACTTTAATCTGTAGACAAGGGGAGCCATCAAAGGATTTTTCAACGAGGGAGTGGCACTAGGTTTCAGGTTTGCTTCACTAACAGTATGGAGTATGTGTTTGGAATCTCCACAGGGGTTAGGACAGAACAGGATGACACGTTAGGAGTTGGTTCTCAATATGTTTT